ATTGTCCAAGGTCTGTCGGACCTCAAAACCTAAGTTATGGTCCATGGCCTTCTCATGTGTTATTTCAGCAATATTATATCAACTTTACGGAAGATGCTGTTAATATGTCCAGAATCATGCATTTCAACCCCTAATTAACTCAAGTTTGCTTTCTCACAAATGCACAATAATATGTATAACAAGCTATTGTTGTTGGACTTGAACATGGGAGAGGCATCCACCCCCCATGCAGTCGGATATCCATGTATACCTTTCAACTCTCGAAAACCTTAACTGCTAAGATCCTACTGTTGATGAGAAATCTTGCTAATAACATAACAATTGATAGCACATATTTTATATGCTGTATGTATTTTATACTGTGTGGTTATAATAAAGTAAGCTAGAGAATAAAATGTTACTAAGAAAATCAAAGGAGAGAAAATACATCGATAGTACTGTACTATAAAAAATGCAAAAAAATGCATATAAATATACCCATTTAGTTCAAACATGTGTTGTTCAAGGCTCAACTGTATATATAGTAAACATTTATTTATTCCACAAAATTTTATTAAGCACCCATTATGTGCAAAGCATAGTTCTAAGTACGGAGGATATAGTGGTTTATAAAGCCTATAGTTTAGGATCAGAAAGACTTTAAGCAAATAATCATACAAATGAATATAAAAGCACGAAACTATATATTTTTAAGATTTTATTTATTTATTCATAAGAGACACAGAGAGAGAGAGAGAGAGAGGCAGAGACATAGGCAGAGGGAGAAACAGGCTCCTTGCAGGGAGCCAGACATGGGACTCGATCCCAAGACCCCCGGGATCACACCCTGGGTCAAAGGCAGGTGCTAAACCACTGAGCCACCCAGGCATCCCACAAAACTATATTAGAATCATTTAGGAAAATTTATGGTTAATAAGAGGTTGTAACAGAAGGACCTGAATTAGATGGGTTGAGGGGAAGACTAGGGTCCTAACAAAGACTTCTCTGAGGAGCTAATGTCCAAACAGCCTGGAAAGAAAGAAAAACAAAAAACACTTAAGATTAAGGTGGTGGGGTATTCCAGGGAGATGAAAGGGCCAATGTCAGATCTCTAGGATGGAAAACACTTGATAGGTAATAAGATACCCAATTTAAAAACCAATGCATTTGGGGATCTCTGAGTGTCTCAGCAGTTTAGCACCTGCCTTTGGCACAGGGCGTGATCCTGGGGTCCTGGGATCGAGTCCCACATCAGGCTCCCTGCATGGAGCCTGCTTCTCCCTCTGGCTGTGTCTCTGCCTCTCTCTCTCTCTCTCTCTCTCTCTCTCTCTCTCTCTCTTTCATGAATAAATAAATAAAAATCTTTTTAAAAAATATGCATTCATGTATTATATTTAGTGGGGAAAGGGATGCTGCTACCTATCAGGTTTTGTTTTATATAATAGTAATACAAGGATAAATATAGCAGATTCTTTCCATGGAATAGTTCAGTTGCAAAGATAAATTGTATGATAAAGACATAAACAAGAATGCCTTGGGAACAGAAGAGAGAGCAACTAAGGCCTCATAAAGGAGCTTGTGTTTGAGTTGGATGTTGAAGGATGAGGAGTTTATATGGCGCAGAAGTGGGAAAGTTCTTTCCCAGCAGAAGGAATAGTATGTGTAAAGGCACAAAGCTGAGAGAATGATGCAGCATCAGAGAAGTATGTGAGGGCTACTTATCAGAGAAAGAGCTAGTAGTTAGGCTACGGCCAGACTGTGAGTGGTTTTGTAAAGACGTTTGGACTTTCCAGTCTTAGCAAGGGGCAGATATTGGGGATATTAGGCAGAAGAAAAATATTTAACAAGTGATTGTGGTAAGTGTATAGGGTCTGAATGATAAAATGGTGGCAGATAGAGAAAGGAAGAGACTTTTGTAATATTCCAAGCTAGAGACAGCAAGTTTCTCAACTATTCCAATGACAGTGTGAGTGGAGAAGATGTGCTGGGTTCAAGACATACTGATATCTTTAGCAGGAGCTGGCCATGCCAAAGGTAAAAAGAGAATGTGTAAATACCTCATGGTAACCCAGGATCCTGAGATATTTTGGAAATCTGCCCCTTCTTCTGATTGTTATCTGATAAAATATTATCTGAATATATATGTATAACATATATACATATACACGTATATACATATATACAGCGGCAGACAATATTTTATTTATATCAATATATACATGTCTATCTATTGAACTATTTTTTATTCTATTTATCTTAAATGACTACAATTTGAAGTGCTTGTAGCTGTGCACTGAACAATCTGTGCACACATATGAAGGCCCTGTTGCAAACCGCCACCATCAGTGATAACTGATGCATGCACTCTTGGCAGGGCCGGGGGCCCCAAGTGTCCGCAGATGTGACTAAAACACACTGTGCTATTTGTAATGCTTTAATTGGACTTGTGTGAATCCTGTCATTTTCTGTGAGTAATTTTGATACTTTGGTTAAGATTGCTGTGCATTTTTGTGTTGACCTATATACCCATAAACACTAGCTGTAGATAGGGAGGTAAATGGAGAGATAAATAGATATATAGATTCATAGATTGACACAGATTCATAGATACTTAGAAACAGGTTCCTTTGCCACAGATAAGTGTCTGCACTTAGACAAAATAGGTAGAAGCATTTATTCATTTTCGAGTGCTACCTTCTTCAAAAAATTGTCATGCTAACAAGGGGAGGGCCATAGTAGTATTGCCAAATTCAAGTCAGATTTAAAATTAAATGAAAAGCATTGAGACCCTCCCTCGGTAAGTGCTGCTTGCCAGTAACATGCCCTGGAGAAACAAAGATGACTAAGATGGACTCCTACCCTCCTGTGCAGCGTGCTGGGGAAGCAGCTCGAACGATGTGGTTTTGTTCATCGTGGTTAAGTGCTGTGAGGGAAGATGCCCTGGGAGATCATTCAAAGCAGAGGAAACAGAATATGCAAATATAAATATTGTGTTTGGGGCATCGATAAGATGTTAAACAAAGAAGCAGCTTAACCTAATGGAAAGAATTCCACCATTTACTGCCCATGTCCTTTGGGGAAATTTACTTTACCCTCCCCCTTGCCTCATTTCTTTTTCCATTTTTCATAGTGAGAATATTCTATTCATTTCATAATTTGTGAAGAAACCGTAAGATAATATACATGCAAGCAATTTGAAGACAAGCATTATGTATTAATATACATTCTTGATAGTACATATTAATTGTAAGGATATCACAATTGAGAAAAATAATTTTTCTTTCTCCCAATTCACTCTCTGTGCTTCCTTTCTTACTGGCATCCACACTCTTGATGCTCTACTTATCTTTCTTCCTTTGAGAAAGTACTCAGGGCCATTCGGGAAGTGCCAGGATGGTAGCACTTCCCGGGGCTTTGTGAGATTGTTTGGATTAACCTTTGCAATTCCACTCCAGGAACCTTCTTCCTAATGGGTGACTCTGACTGAGCACCTGGAGAATGAAGAGGTGCTAAATATCCGTGGAATTTTATCAATATCTATGAATCCAGGACCCCTTGAACTATGAGACGAAACATGGCATGTACAGAACTGATGATTCTGAACCAGGAGTTGGGTTGGGAGATCCATCTCCGGGCATCGGATGTACTAAATTATCCTCTACTGACCTCACTCTTCAACCCTGTCCCCTGAGCTGTGTCTACCTTAACACCAGCACCAGGAAGCCTCCTGGGTCTAGAGAAAGAACTTCAGGTGGCCCAACACATCTAGCTAAAGCAAGCATTATTCTGAGAATATTGTGGAAGGTGCACTGAAGTTGTTGCTTTATAAAAGTGAAAAAAGTATTGACATTTCTAAGCCCAGAACTATTTTTTAACAAGCTAGAAAATACTGAAAAACAGGTAGTACAGTTTTCTCAAGAGAATGCAGTGTTAGAATGCACACCATTTTTTTTTCCCAGTGTGTATTTGGGTAAAATATGTGCAATGAAATTTCAGGCCAAATCCTAATGCAGAAATAATCCAAAATATGGCAGATTTATAAGCGAGGTGATTTTTATTTATTTGCTAATGTGGATTCCCTTAAGAAGTCAAACGTTCTACATGTTACTTATGGCTTCTCCTTGAAAAGACTTACCTCTAAGGTCTCAGCAGCATAAAACTCCGGGCTGCGGAGTTGTCTGAATCAAGCATCAGTCGTAATTCTCCTTTGCCACTAACTCTGGGTGGTTTGGAACCTACCAGTACTCTACCTGTTGGGTAATTAATAATTCATAATTAAACTGACAGTTTGAATAAATCAGCATAGCCGTAGGCTTGGAGCCTCCTCTCTTGCCTTTCTTCAGAGAATGTGAAATATAACAGAGAAGAAAGGTGTAGGTATTTGAAATCCTCCATTAAAAGCTTAGATCTCACCCCCCCAGCCCCACCCCGTAGTTTTCAGATTTGTTCCATCCGTTCTTTGGATCTTTCTTTCAAAGAGGAATGAAGCAGGGACCCTTGACAGCCTTGTGCCAGACACTGAGGAAATAAGAGATGTATGTGACTCCATCCTTTTCTTTAAGCAACTAACCCTAGGTAAAGACAGGCATGAAAAATCAGCTGTGATACCACACGCTCAGTTCCCTCCACATGGAAAGTTCAGAAAAAAAAAGTGGGAGAGAAAAGTGATTATTTTCTCAGGATTTGGGGAGAAGTGTGGGAAAACTGCAGAGGGGAGTTGATCTTTGAGGTCCCTTGAGTAATGAGTCATAGTCTTTCAGGTAAGAAATTAAGAAAAGAAGAGAAAAACAAAACGATGGAAGTACTTAGGTTTTTGCCATTGTCCGAGGACAACCGGGGTTGAGCACTAGCTGTGCACAGTGTTAATGGCCACATGGTTGGCAAATCAAGCCATCTGAACATTATTATTGAGAATAATACTTATCATAAAAGCATCTGTGCAAATATTTATGTGCTAATACCTCCTTTTGAGTGCAAAGAATCATTCTCATGCATTTCTTTTCTCCTTTGTTTCCTCCCAGTTCCTCCCCAGATCATGAATATCTCCTCAGACATCACTGTAAATGAGGGGAGCAGTGTGACCCTGCTGTGTCTTGCTATCGGCAGACCAGAGCCAACTGTGACATGGAGACACCTGTCCGTCAAGGGTAAGGCCTTTACCTTTGGGAATTTTTCAGAATTATTTTTCAGAGTTCAGGCTGGGAGGGAGAACCTGCCCAGTGCCTGTACCTTAGCTTAGAGGTATTCTATTATTTTATTGAAGAATTTGTTCTAAAGCACAACAAAACTTTGGGAATCAGAAAGCGACGCTGTGTTCGTAATGTCGTAATGTAAAAGCAGATGGGCTGCACGCATCAGTCACTGAGGATTCCATTTCCAAACAAAAGGATTTATAAAGAGAAAATGTACTGAATTATATTCTCAGTCCTTCCTATGACCCTAGAAGACTTCTGTTTTCCAAACCAGGAAGAACAGAGGTGCCATAAGAATGGCTTCAAAGATACTAGTTTCTCAAGGTCGAGATGTGTAGACCAGTTGGTTACTGGGCTTTTCTTTAAGAAGAGCGATAGAAGGCTAGATTGTTTATTGTAAATGTTGGTTGTTACTGTTTAGCCTTGAAAAACAGGATCTCCTTGCTCAGGACTTTCAGAACACTTCCCCAGAGCCACACCTATTTGACCTACACATAACTAGTCCTCATGAACAGAAGGATGATGGAAAAGGAGAAGAACACTTGAGTATCTTGTACTGAGCACTGATTGGTATTACATATCAGTGATAGTCATCTTCGCCTTAGTGGGATGGGAACCACAAGAACGGTGAGCCTTATACCTTTGGAACTAAAACTTACTCCAAGTTGAACTTTGAAGGCACAAAGTCACTTGGTATATTTATACATTACTAGAAACTATGATAGGTGTGTGTGTGTGTGGGGGGGTAACTGGGTGAGGAGCACTGAGGAGGGCACTTGACAGGATGAGCACTGGGTGGTATACTATACGTTGGCAAATTGAATTCAAATTTTAAAAAATGTAAGAAAAAAGAAAATATGATAAATTCTATAAATTATACAAGGAGCAAATGTTCCCTCAAGCATTAGAAAATCCAAACATGAACTTAAGTGAAATAGGAGAATGTATGGAGTATGCCTGTGTGTGATATAAAAATAACCTAGATCTAGAGGAAAACGTGGGAACACATCTTAGTAACCTTGAGATGGAGAAAGATTTGCTAGCACATCAAAGGCCCTTACCATAAAAGAAGAAAACATGAATAAATTTGGATTTTTATTATTTTCTCACAGTTGCTGTAACAAAGTACTACAAATGGTGTGGCTTAAACAACAGCAGTGTGTTTCTTATAGTTCTGGAGGTTATATGTCCAGGATGCTGTGTAGGTAGGGCCAGTTCCTATCGAGGGCTGGGAGGGAGAACCTGCCCAGTGCCTGTCCGTTAGCTTCCGGTGGTCAGCTGGCAGGCTCAGTGTTTTGTAGCTTTTAGATGTGTCACCCTGACTCCTGCTTCGTGCTCACAGGGCCTTCTCCCTGTGTGCCCCCTTTGTGTCAAATTTTCCCTTTTTACAGGGACACCAACATATTGGATTACTGCCTATACTGCCTACACTAATGACCTCATCTGATCTTGGTAAACTTGTAAAAACTTAGTAAAATAGGGTCACATTCTACAGCACTAGGGTTAGAACTTCAGATTATCTTTTTTTTGGGGGGGGTAGCTAGGGGGTGGAATTCAATTCATAATGGTTTCATCAAAATTTAAAACACCATTGAGTGTAAATGAAAAGAGAAGCCACATACTGGGAGAAAACAGTTACCATACATATATCTGGCACAGAATTTGGGCTTTGTCTGGGTTATGTTTGGGCTTCATCTGGGCTGTATGAAGAATTCTTACTACGTGATTCTGATGAAGTTTTGGAATATAGGTGAGGTCCGGAGCTGACCACCAAGAAAGAATTCTTGAGATGTCTTTGGTGCACAATGGTGGTTTTTATTAAAGCACTAGGACAGGACTCGTGGGCAGGAAAAGCTGCTGCCCCCGGCCTGTGAGGGGTGGCTGATTATATACCTGGGAGTTGGGAGGGGTTTGAGGATAGCGTCCTCTCTAAGGAATTTTGGAAGCAAGGTTTCCAGGACCTAGAGGGGGCTAGCTATTGTTGGGGAAAGGTCGCTCATTACCCTCTAATAAAACCTGAGTCATGAGACCCTTCAGATGTGTATCTATGGGCCATGTGCTTGGGGGGTGATGGCTAACACGTATCTTGGGGGATAGAGATAAAGGGAAATTTCTAAAGGAATTTTTATATGTTAAAGTAGACTTACAGGATCCTGGGGGTCAGGCTAAGATTGCTTTTTGCCCTTAGCAAAATATCAACATGGAGGCAGTTGAGTCCGTAGAGGAATGTCCCTTTGCCTGTTTCAAGAACTTGTCAATGTGCTTACCTAAGCGCGTGCCTTGTCCTCAGCTTGACCTGTGTGTTTCCCCATCAATTCTAACAACGTATCTTGAAATGAATGAAAAATTTGAACAGATAATTCACAAAAGAAGACACATGAATAAGCTCATGAAAATATGCTCAATATATTTACCATAGAAATGAAAATTCAATCATAATAAAATACCACTACACAACTATTAGATGGCCAAAACTTAAAAACAAAACAAAACAAAAAAACTTGACAATATCAAGTGCTGGTTACACCATAACTCTGGAACTCTAAAGTGCTATAAACACTATGAAAAGCAGTTTGGCACTTAGTTTTAGAGTTAAACATGCACTTAACATGTGACCCAGCAATTCCACTGCTGGGTGTTCACCAAAGATAAATGAAAATGTCTGTCTACAAATATACATTGTGCATAAATATTCATAGCAGCTTCATTTAGAGTAGCCTGAAACTAGAAATAACCTCAAACTTCCAATAATTAAATAGATAAAGTGTATATATTCAGAGAACAAATGACTTTTCAGCAAGTAAAAGGAACAACTCATTGCTAATGTAACAAAACAGATGATTCTCAAAAATCAGGCTGAGCCAAAGAAGCAAGACACAAAAATACCTACTGCGTGATTTCATCTATACAAAACTTTCGAAAGAGGCAAAACTAATTGATAGTGACTAAAATCAAGTCAGTGGTTACCTGGAGTAGGGGTTTGGGGAGATGTGACTACCAAGGGGCCCAAGGGAATGTTTTTGGGTGATGGAGATGTTTTATACCTTGAGTGGGCTGCTGGTTTTGTTGCCGCTTACATAGGTCAAAATGTCAAACTATACAGTAAAAACAGGAACATGTTATTGTATGTAAATGAAAATCTCAGTGAAATTTTAAAAAATATACACATAGAGATATGGGAAATAATGAACTGAAAGTTTGCCCCTGATTTGTAGTATCATTTACATAAGCAATACTCCCCTGGGGTAGGAGACTGGATTTGTTGGTAGGAGCACCATTTCAGTTTTCCCTGTCTCATGTCCTCCATGTGAATAGAGATACACACGTCAACCCCAGCCGTGTTGTAAGGAAGGATAATGCTAGCAGAGCTGCTGAACACTCTTTGCATACAGACCTCAGCTATTGAAACACAAAATGTCTGTATTATAAAAGTAATGTTAATTAACAAGAATATTAAAATAGACATGAGGGACGTCACAAAGCCCAACTTTAAGGTAAACAGAGCTGTAGCTTAGGTTCCCAAAGACATAAGCCTCATGGGGATTTTGCTTGAAGTGTGGGGCAATTTTGGATTTATATTATATAGAAAACTATATCTAGACATCAGACCAATTTCTATGTATTCGGTAAATTCAGATTTTTTTTTTTATAAATGCTTGAAACCCCAAAATGCATTTACTTGATCCTAAATGCATAGTTCTCTGAGCCTAGAAATCTTTTGAAAGGCAATTTGACTTTGTGTAAATGTTTTGATGTGATTCCTTATAATGGTACACTGGTATGTTTTCTCTCTAAAAATAAGGGAAATTCATCCATATTCCCAATCTTTTATATAGCGTAATAGTCACAATTCAGCCTCAAAGAAGTTCAGAAAATCCTACATTTAAGTGATCCCTCTGCTCTTCAAATCTCTCAGGCTATGATCTACTTTCAGTGCCTTTTGCTTTTTCATAGCTTTGGCCTTCACTTTGCTGTCTTTTGTTCCCCCACTGTCTTTCTCCTCCTCTCTCAATGACATTTAAACATTTAAACTCAAAGCATTGTTTTCCAAATTTGAAAGGCTTTGGAACCTGGAAGATTTGCAAGTTTAAAATGTGCTTCTGCAGAGTGACTACCATTATTTATTTTTAGAAGGCTATTCCTTCTCACTTAGAGTTGAGGAGGCTCTAGGAAGTTGTTTTAAAGGTTTAGAAGAGCAGCCAATAAAACTTGAACATCAAATAGCATTTTTAGAACAATTTGCTGGTTAATTCAGCATGCAAGAATAGGAAATAAAAGTCGCAATGACATTTCCTTTGAATTCCAATAGGATTGCACTGGAGAACTTATTTAGCTCATCGGACAGCTCTGTTCCCAAAATACTAATAATGCGAGGTTTGAAATCTCTTGGTTAAATTAAAGCATCTATATAACAGAAATGAATAAACAAACTAATTTAGAAATAGAATATTTTAAAGAGCAAATTATTAAAGATTAAGAATAATGGTAATGCTTATAGTTTAAAAAGGGACCAAACACATGCCACCAATCCCTAGAAATTATAGGAAAAATGTAAAAGCTCATGATCCAAAAAATCCATTATCACACTAGAGAATAATAATGGAAAGCCTGCATGGATCAGAAACAATACGGAATGTCTGAAATATAAAAAGTAAAGATGCAATGAAGAGAGAAAGTAAAACAGCTCGATATACAGGAATATGATCTATACTGACATGACATAGGTTGAAGAAGGAAGGGTTTTAGGTCTCGGTATACTGGTAAATGTTTAAAATTGACTGGGGCTGAGGTGGTGAAGGCAGTGGAGCCCTGGTGGCATTTGCCAGTTTCCATAGTGTAAATATTCCCATCATTGCCACTTTCCTGGGAACCCTTTGGAAGTGACTGTATTTTTGACTCATTTTCACTTAAACAAACCAAAAGTCATTTCTTCCTATGAAAGCATAGTAAGGTTT